AGGCAACAAGCGCTGGGGGTGTGGCAAGAGGAAAGGCTGCCTTGCGCAGCTCAGTCAATGAGAGAGCTGAGAACAGAAGGCTACTTAACACTGTTGTTTGGTGTACTTTTTGCTCCCCCAAACCAGCCACTGATGGCTGCATGGCCCCAGAGGGCTGATGGGAGTTAATCCCTGGATGCTGTGCATCAACATTTGAACCTTTACACTACATGGGGGGGGGGGGGAATGGGCTTTATGGGCAACATCTCTCTGCACAGGTTTGGTGCAGGCAAGAAAAAGCAGTCATGGCCTGTGATAATGTCAAGCTTGGAGCCAGGATGCATTGTCCAGGTGGTGGCAAACCTAATGGGCAGCCTCTTAAGGAGCCCAAACAATGGGAGAAATGAGTTAGCTGGGGCTATCCAAGTCAGGTCTATATAGGAAATACCCATGTGTAATGTACAAAAAAGCTTTAAATTCTCATAATGTCAGAGAGGTTGGATTCTAGAGCGAATAGCACCACCATTATGAAAATTATTGTTATTTTTGAAAGCCATATGATTCCTGCAGAAGCAAATTTCTGAGCAAAATTATTGTGGTCATTGTTGCGAACTTACAGTGACCAACTGCTTTTGAACCTGATCACTCCAAGCGTGAAAAGCAATCTATTGTTCAGGAGTGGCAGAAGCTGTCCTCAACCAGGGCCAGGGCTTTTTCAGTCCTGGCCCCTACCTGCTGGAACTCTCTGGTGGAGAACATCCATGCCCTGCGGGCTTTGTTACCTTTCCATAGGGCATGTAAGGCAGAGATGTTTCACCAGGCATGCAGTTGAGGACAGTGATGGTACAGTATGTTGTCTGGCCTTTTCATACCTTCCATTTACCGCAAGCCCCCACCTGGAGGCTTGTGACATTTGAATTCTTTTCTCACCATCTTGGAATGACTAAATTATGCTGATGAATTATTAGTGTTGTATGTATTATGTAGTTATTCTTGGTTTTATTTTTTAATTACTCATTGGATGTCCTTTTCTGTTGTAAGCTGCCCTGAGCCTTGCTTGCAGGGAAGGGCAGCCTAAAAATCTAATTAAATAATAAATAAATAATCACTAAAGTTGAAAAGGCAAACCAAGAGTGCATGCACATCTGGCACATATGGATGTGGAATCACAGCCTTTTTCAAATGACTGGATCCAGGGGCCAGCGCTATTTATATCCTAGCCACTGCAGTTTGAAATCACATTGAGTCAAAGCTGAAACATAACTTCAATATGGTTATCACATCCTGGCCATCATCCAGAGAATATCTGGTTTTTACAAATGCCGAAACAGACATGTAAGAGGAGATCAGCCTTTTGTATTTTGCTTTTTTTTAATTTTAAAGCAGGTAAATGGGTTTCTGATTTGATTGGAGCAGCAATGCTGGGGGGTTAATCATTTTCTCACCCAGCCAAACTACATCATATAGAGTTCTGCATTTTTACTGCTACAGGAATAATAGTAGCCTCTTAAACATATGGAGCTGCCTTATATTGAGTCAGACCAAAAGTCTATCAAAGTCAATATTGTCTACTCTGACTGACAGCAGTTCTCCAGGTTTTCAGGTAGAAGTCCTTCACATCACCTACTGCCTGATTTTTCTAACTAGAGATTCAGAGGATTGCAACTGGGGTGTTCTGCATACAAATAGATGTTCAGCTATGGATCCATGGCCACACCCCTAGAGGGGTAAATTTAGATCAAGACAATGGCATGGGAAAAGATTTCAGCCATGTTTAATTCAAAATTGGAGGCCCTAGCAGCTGCTTTAAAGTTAAAGCAACAATGGGAGATCTAGTCACAGATGTCTGTTTTGACCTGGAGAATTCATTGAGAAGTTAGCACCCACTTAAGAACTTGCCAACTGGATGTAGGGGCACCTAAATCCCCTGAATTGTATCTGATGTTTTACATTATTAACTATAATTTTGAAATTTAACTGTATTGATTTTTTTTCCCAGACAGCACTTCTCAAAAAGGTGAATTGTAAGTATTTTTTCCTCATCTGGAAAAAAAATTATTTATTTTCAAAAATTCATACATTGCTCAGAAGAAAAGTGTGATTCACAAGCAGATTGAGGCTCAGACACAAAAAAGCTGTCTGCTTTATTAATGACAATGTTTGTTTTTATAACTGAGACAGATGCCTCCTTTTGGCAAAGAACTTTTGCTTTACTGGATGTGAGGATGCCAGCATCTAGTTGGCATTTGAGAAGTCTAATTCACTCTGCCTTTGCCAACACTCCTCTTCACTTCCTAGATCTGTTGGCACTGACACAAAAGCAAATTTTTACATCAGTGGCTCCGGAATGGTACTAGTCTCTGAAAAGGGGTGGTAGAAATTTGAAGTAAATGTGGTGTAAAAGTACAAAGGCTGAGTAAATGCTCCAACTTCAAGGCAAGGGGCAAAGGGACACAGTAAAAGGATGACATCATTATATTTTACTGTACCAACATCTGTTCCACAGACTTCAAGCAGTGCTGCTAGCTAGTGTCTTAAGTAGATTTTGCCTTTCATAGAGCTGCACAGTATATTTTTCATTCCTCACTCCAATTAACAGTCTCTAATGTGACTGTAATTATAAAATGGTGTTTTGTTTTCTGTTCTAGATATATTCTTTAAAACAAGGTTAGATGCTTGTTTTAGCAGCTGCAGATGAGGAGCAACTGTAAAGATTTCACAACAGCAACAAACAAAGGAAACTACTCCAGCTTGTTAAATTCTCACAAATGTAAAATGATGCATAAAGAGCCACCCTTGACTTTGGTCACCATTAGATAAAGCTGCTGCTTACCAAGAACAATTTGTAGGTCATAGATACTTCTGTCCCATATAAAGCTGGAATGTAGAGCCTAACTGGACATGACCTTTTCTATATGTACACTAACAGATAATTCAGAAGTGTCATGTCCCTCTGGCAGTGGTTCCTCAAGTATGGATCTGCCACTTGTAAAGAAGGAGGTACAGAACCTTTGAAAACATCCTAGTGAGATGAGAACAGGTTGGGGGAAGGAGGCTGAGCTACTGGGAAGGTAACGAAGGATGAAGCATGGATTTCCTCCTCCCTATACAGTTGTTTCATAGCATGGCTGAAAGGGGTGGAAAAGTAAATAGGGCAGGGGAAGGCTGGCAGTAGAGGGATCTCCAGGCAACAGAGATCAGTTAACTTAAGAACATAAGAGAAGCCAATGTTGGATTAGGCCAATGGCCCATCCAGTCCAACACTCTGTCACACAGTGGCCAAAAATACCAGGTGCCATCAGGAGGTCCAGCAGTGGGGCCAGGACACTAGGAGCCCTCACACTATTGACCCCCCAAGCACCAAGAATACAGAGCATCACTTGCCCCAGAGTCCCTATCTATACCTTATGGCTAATAGCCACCGATGGACCTCTGTTCCATATGCTTATCTAATTCTCTCTTGAAGCCGTCCATGCTTGTAGCCGCCACCACCTCCTGTGGCAGTGAATTCCTGGAGAAAATGGCCATTTGGAAGGTGGACTCTATGACATTATATCCCACTGAAGTCCCTCCCCTCTCAAACCCTGCCTCCTCAGGCTCCACCCCCAAATTTTCCAGGTATTTCCCAACCCAGAACTGAAGGCAAGCCCTTCCCCTCCACCACCACTCTCCTCCTTTTATCTTCTTCTTGTCTCCATAGAAGGGCTTTATGGGGTGAAGGCCACAATCCTTCCTTCCTTCCCTGCTCTCTCCTCCTTGCCCACATTTTCCCCACCACCCCTCTCCCCCTCATCTCACAGCAAGCTTTTCGGTTTCCCCCACTTCCTTCTTTCCAAAAGGCAGAAGGCAGAGGGAGATAAATGCAAATTAAGGACAATTTGTTTGTTGATGATCAACTTTGGTCCCGTTCAAACTAGGCGATTTGGCCCGGGAGCGGGACAGTTTGGGGGTGGATCAAACCGGCACGATCACACCACAACATCTGGGAAGCGTCGTGATACCGTCCCCGAACTGGCCCTTTCCCGGGAAAATGCGCCTCAACATGCAACCACCTACCTCAGTGGTTCAAATGGAAGTGGTGCGGCAAGCCGGGCGTTTGATCGCCGGCGCGTCCTTGCGCCGGCACAACCCCGGCCCGGAGCCGAACTGCGCATGCTCTGACATGCGCAGTTCGGCTGGCTAGGCGTCCGAACTGTGTTTTCTCCCCGGCGTTTGATCGCGCCGGGGAGAAAAGGCGCCGCAGCCAGGGGATCCGTGGGATCCCGCCGCGGCATCTCAACGTTGGCACGGCTTTTAAAAGCCGCGCCTTAAGAGGCTTTCCCCCTGCCGTGTGGCAGGGGCCTTTATTATTGTTTGGAAAATGATACTTAAATTTGCATTGTGTTGATTATCTGAATTAAACAGAGGGCTTAACCAGATTAGACACTTTTCAGATGTACAGTTTCAGGTAACCTGGAAATGTGTCCATGAAGATGTATGAGACGTTTACTCCAAGTTTGGAGTTCCTAGCTAGGATCACTAGTTCCTAGCTAGGATCACTAGTTAGGTAAGACATGGAAGGGTGAAAAGGGTAGGCATATAAAGATACATGAACACAGAGGCAAGAGCCAGACCACTTTTTAAGTCACCTCCCAGTTGTCGTTTGCCCTGTTTCTTGGCAATCCATGCATGGTATCCAAAAACTAGCAGGAACAATTAAGAATATCATTGTTCAGAGCATCACAGGAAGCTATGCTTCAGTCAAGCACGGAACCATCTGTTTAATCACCTTAGGAAACTGCAGTAATCCTTTGGCAGTTGATAAAAGTTGTTTCCTAGAGGTGAGCACAACAGAACAGAAATGAAACCTCTGCATCTCAGTCCTTTTCATTCTGCAATATGGGTATGATTAATGTTATTTCAAAAGATAGTTTCAATGGAATTCCTTGACCAGGAGTAAAGAAAGTAAATTCTACAGCAAATTAGAAAGGATATATAACTTTTAAAAAATTGATAGTTATTCATTCTTAAAATAAACTTACGTTTAAAACAGTAGGCATCAAATTGGCTGTCTGGGTCAGGAAACCCTGTTTGGTTCTCATAGCGAAAGAGGGTTCTGACACCAAGTAAACCTCCTCCACACTGCATTCTTGCCACAGAAGCAGGGTAGCGCACACTGCCATCAGCCAACCAGCCATAGTCACATTGGTCAAAGCCATTCCTCCAGGCAGCATGCAGGTCACCGACAGATGCAAGAACCGCATCCTGTGCTTCACACTGCCTTTTAGCTTCTTCAAAGGTTAGCTTGTTGGGAGCAGTTACATGGAAAACATCACCTAGAGAAACAGAAAACACAAGGCACCTTTTACAAAAGGACCAAAAGTGTGGCAAGAAACTAAGTGTATGGTTATGTCATAATTCTTAGGGGATTTAAATGCAAAACGTGGCTTCCAGCATATCTATGACTGAAACAAGAATTCACCATGAGACAGATTTGTTACTAAGATCTTTCTGTTCAGTATGCCCTTATCCATGATATTTGCTCAGACAGCTCTGTCTTCGTCACCCATCCAAAGGTCTCTTCCTGCCTGCCTGTTATTTATGAATTTAATTATTTCATTTAAAATATTTATATCCCACTTCAGACTCAAGGCAGCTAACAATGCAACGTTACGAGGACACAATAAAAATATATCAGTACCATTAGCAAAACTCAGCCAAATCTGCCAAAACAGTTATTCTCCATCAAATGCCCTCTCAAATAACGCTATTTTACATGCCTTCCTAAATGCAGGAACTGAAGGCCCCCTATGGACCCAACCTGGTAGGCTATTCCAGAGCACTGGGCCCACTAGGGAAAACATTCTGTAAGCTGTTGCCATATGGACAAGCCTAAAAGAGGACATCAGGAAGAGGTTGTCAAAGGAACATAGTGGGCACACAGGATTATAACAGGAAACATACACTGAGATTATATTGGGATGTCCCTCCTTGCCAATACATGTGGTGGTCCTTCTCTCTCCTCCAGATTCCTCCTCAAAACTCATTTGTTTGTGAAGCCTTTGGTTTAAATCCTTGTCATACCCAATTGTAATCATGCCTAGGGGGTGATCACATGCACGAGATAAAGTGTGTGGGGGGAGTGAGGCTATTTCCTCCGGAGGAATTTGACCCACAGTTGTGCAATCACACAGTCCTTGGAAGCTGCAGGCACAGCCCACCACTGCGTGATCAGACGCAACCGTGGATGAGTTGGGTTTTTGAGGGTCTTTGCTGTTTGTTTCTAATGCGCTTACACGAGGAATCAATGAATCACATTTATGCACTGAGGTCTCCCTATGGGGTTCGCGATGATGCGCATACTGGGGGGGGGACAATGGCACAGAGTTGGGATGGCCTGATCAGACCATCCCAAAACCATGAGAGCATGCTGAAGCAATCAGAGATGAGAAACTCCATCCGTGGCCCGTCACAACCCATTTACTACCAGATTTTCCCTGTTGTCTTTTTACTCCGCTTCTGCGGCAGAGCAAAACAAGTTGCCGATGGGTGTGGGGCACTTCCCAGATGTTCGCGTCTCATCGCACCCTTTAAATCTGCCCAGCATTCACACCTATGGCGGGACTAATTGTGCAAGTGATTGTGCCCCTAGATTCCTTTCTCTTTGGACATCCAGCTCTTGCTACCCTGGTCTTCATATGGCTCTGTTGTTTCTCCCACTATCCATTTTTATATTTTAAGACCATTGGGCCAGGGTCCTGTCTATAAAATGCCATGAATGTTGACAGCACTGCATTAACCATTCATGGCACTGTAATAGTAAATTCAGCAATAAAAATAGTCCCTCTTTTGTTAGTCTTCCCTTCTGGAACAAACAAACTGTAATGTGTGCAGATCCCGGATTCCCCTTCTAGTCGACTCTGTTACATCTGTCTGTAAAAGAAGGGAGCCAGCTACAGAGAGCGATGCAACTAGAAGACATTCAGAGGTGCAGAGCTGACAAAACCAGAAGTCAGGTGCAGCACTCAAATAAGCACCAAGACCTGTCTCATTACAAACTCTTATTCATCTCTCCATTCAGAACCAGCTTGTAAGAAGCCATGGATTGTCTCCATGGTGCCCTAATATTCCAGAGTTATTGTATTTGTCGCTTCTTTGCAACATCCTTCTATCTTCCCTGGACCATAGGATAATGGACAGGGAAATCAACAGCCTATCATTGCAAGGAACAGAACCTAAAATTATCTTCATGGCTGGGGTCACTGGGCCTTCAAGATACCATAAATGGGATGATATCTTAAATGTGCTGCCTAACTGTGCCATATAATTACTTGAATGAACCTCTCCACTCTTAATAGTGGATAAGTGGATATCGGTGACATGAATTTTGCAGGGTGTCCATTACATGTTGCATACACATCCAGGGATCACTGAAATATGCAAGTCCTTCTTCTGCACAACCCATATTGCTTGTACAAGATAACAGCAAGAACGAAAAGACAGGTATGGTCCATTTCAATAGCAGAATATTGTTTTCAAAGGGCATCATGGAAGAGATTGGTGGCTAGTTTAATGTTTTGTACCATGAAACCACAAGTTCTGAGCTTTCTTCCTGTAAGGAGATATGTGGTACATTCCTTTCATAAGCAATCTTGGATCATATTTAGAACTTTAGATCATTCTCAGTGTCTTTGATAAACAGGTCATGGTTATATGACCAAACAACAGTATAGCTTTCCAAATAAACAAGAAGATGCCAAGAACATCACCACCATACTTTCATTGTCACATCATCAACTATTAGTTTAAAAATTAATGTTAATACAAGAACAAAAAGTTTAGTTATGGTAATGTGTCTGATTGTTGACATTTAAACCAAGTAATTACATCCCCAAATGTCTAGATCAAAAAACAACTGTTAAGCCAATAGACGGAGCAAACAAATTCCCTTTAATGCTCCTTGTCACAAACAGGCAATGTGCCTACAAATAAACCATCTGCTTTCCAAAGAAACTACAAATCCATGTGTCAATATTAATCTGATCTGTATCTTAAGAGCTGTAACAGGCATTGCAATATGTTAACAAAAAAGATTATCAAAGAGAAACAAACACGGATTGTTTGAATCTGAAAAAAAATGTTCCAACAATTCTGCAGAACTACAGATGTTTGACCCATTTTTTCTGAAGAGTGCATAGGAAAATATATTCTGAGACAATTTAGCAGGTAATTAAAATGTTTTGATCTCACTTGGACTAGCAATGGAACAAATGTCTTGTTTTTCAGCTGTTTTACTTTTTACAAAATAGTGTATTAATTATTGTTAAAGAGCACAAACCAAACCAGAGACAACTAGATATGCTCAAAGCTGTAATTATAAACATAGCTATGAAACCAATGAGTCCTATTTCTAAGTAAAGAAATTTAGGATCAGGATGTAAGTCCTGGTAAGACTTACTGGGATGTAATTGCTTTAGGTTGCAACCCTAGGAACACTTTCCTGGGAGTAAGCAATAAAATGGCACTTACTTCTGAGTAGAGCAGTTTAGGATTTCTCCCTGAACATGCACTTAAATATGTACCAGTGGTATTTATAAGTGTCTGACTTTTCTGAAATGCTGCTACGGATTTTGCCCGTCAGAAGCTTGAAGATGTAGGCCTAAGAGGCTTCCTGCTCACAAGGTGTATAGTCTTCACTTGGCATGATTTCTTTGCTGTTAAAAAGCTTGTCTTGTGCAAGTAGAAGGAATAGTTGTGACTGATGAAGCTACATGGTGACATTTGTATTAACTTTCTGTAAAAACTAGGTTTTGTGAAAGGATCACACAGTTGGGTTCCTAGCTAAACTATGGCCCCGGTCACACGGGAGACTTTGGCCCGGGAGAGGGACGGATCGGGGGCACAGCAAACGGGTGTGATCTCACCACAACATCTGGGAAGCGGCGTGTACCCGTCCCTGATCCGTCCCTAAACCCGGAAAACCCACTGCAAAAAAGAACCTCCTACAGAGGAGGACTTACATGAAGCACCAATGCAAGCACGACCGTGGGATCGCTGCCGTGCTCATCGTCCGGATCAATCCAGGCTCCCCGCCAAACTGTGCATGCGCACACATGCGCAGCTCGGCTGTCGCACTCTTTCTTCAGTGGCTTCCCCCCGGCATCGATCGTGTCGGAGAGAAAGTGTGCGGCGGCGCAGGGGATCTATGTGATCTCGCCCGCCGCATCTCTCTTTTGGTGCAGCTTTAGAAAGCCGCACTTTACCCGTGCTATTCGAATACCAGGTACAAAAAAACTGCATTTGCCATTCAACTATTGGTAGGGTTGCCAGCTCCAGGTTGGGAAATGCCTGGAGATTTTGGGGGGGCGAAGCCTTAGGAGGGCAGGGTTTGGGGAGGGGAAGGACTTCAGTGGGGTATAAAGACATAAAGACCACCTTCCAAAGAAGGTGAACTATGCTCTGTCACCTGGAGATAAATTGTAATCCCAGGAGATCTCCAGCCACCCCCTGGATGTTAACCACCCCACCTGCTAGCCAAGGAACCACTAGCACTGCTCAAAACTCAGTCCCACAAGTATCCCCCAGTGTGTTTAATGAGGCTTATTCACAGGGAAGTGTAGACAGGATTGAAACCTGATTACAGACTTCACAAAGACCCATATGAATTTATTTAAGTTATTTATATTTCAGCTTTCTCACTGAGACTCAAGGAGGATTATACAGTGTGAATCAATGCAGTCATCATGACAGGTCATCCAATAAAGCATGTAATAGAATTAGGACTGCAGAAATTTGAAACGTATCTAAAACAAAGCATAAATATTAACATGATAGTGCATAAGTTACATAGCAGGATAATACATACAGCAACAGAGAGTATGTACTATGAAGTTATGTGGTGTTCACAAAATCAGCGCACAATGTGAGAAAATTATGATAATTTACTACTGGAGATTATGGAAATCCAAGCCAGACCTGTACACATTCTGACCTATTAAGCTATATATGGTGGCTCTGGTTCAATACCCTCCAAGTCAAATGGGGTTGTTAAGCACATCAGAATATGCAGCTGGTGGATTGCATTTTACAGGCTTGAATGAAAAGCTGGTTCACACATTAACAGGTGGAATGGTAAACCAGCTCTGTTTCTGAACTTTGCCACATCAAACAAGGATTATATAGTTGAATGATCACCCAGGGTGGGGAGGGGGATCCCTACACATGGAAAATGTGTTCTTCCTCTTTTTGTGAAAGCTAAATTACAGCAGAGAAGAGATTGGAATACAAAGACTTTAAAAACATAGTTACTGAAAGAGCTTCTTAAAGGAAATCAAAG